AACTTCTCTCCTACTAGTTTCGGTTCTTCTCAATTCCCTTATTTGTCTGAACGAATTTCAGCATCCCCATAAATGTCAGACTATAACGATTTTGCTACCTGAGCCCAAGTTGGTCCACGATACTCAGAGACCGAACTAATATAATAGTCCTTGACACCTACAACATATTATAATCTGATCGGGCGTCAAGATTAACTATTTTGAAATCCCGATGACGGAAGTTGATCAAAATGGATGGGACTACTCCGAAATTTATTATACCGGTCACAGAATGTCAACAACGTTGGGGGGGGGGGGGGCGAGCAACATGTCGCCGGATGCATGTCTTTCGGTTTGCTAAGCTCGCCATGTGCCAAGTGCAGGGGGGCGGGGCCTATCCTCCATCCAGGCTCTTTCGCCAAGAGGGTCTCTGGACAGTCTCGGGAGAAAAGGCAGTGTGCAAGACCCCTTTTCTTGGCACCCTGGGTCTTTTCTTAGAACACAAAGCTTGATACCTGGCAAGCTTGGATGGCCTCTTTTCGCCTCTCGTGGGGGGAGCAGCGAGAGATGGAGGGGGGAATGACAACAACAGATTGCCGCTGCAGAGGCACGGTCTATCAGGAACCCTGCCCCTTGACGGCCGTTGACGCGATGGTGGTGGACGCACCAGACCGGTTTTCTAGGCCGGCGAAGCTTGTTTTTCGTGCTGTTCGTCGGCTTTGAAAGCTTGGATCGCTTGGATCTCGTCCTTTTCTTGTCTTGTCGAGTAACCACTGTGGGAGGCTGTACAGTAGCAGCGGCGAATCGCTTCGTGGTGCCGGGTCGGAGCATTGGCATGATCCGAGAAGCTTCGCCGCTCAGATAAGGCCCCTCCTCTGTCGTCTCATGTCGTTCTGTCGTTCGCTGGGTTCGTCAATCGTCAATGTGGTTGCGAATCGATGGGATCCAAGTGTGATGGAGGCATTGGTCGCCGATGACGTAGCAACAACCACCACCGATTGCGCCTTCTTGGCGGATAGGCAGGAAAACCACCTTACACATAGGCAGGCAGGGTGGTGTAAGGCAGGTACCTACGTCTCGCTCCCCCGTCCAAAACCGGGAACCTGTGGGCCATATGCGGTACGTACTCGTTCGTGTACGTACAAGCCGCCAGGGGAAGTAGTGGGAAGGAACCGTCACACATGCTCACATTTGGCGGCGAGATTAGGTCATGGTGGGTAAGTGCGATGGGGGAAGCGGGGGAGGGGTCCTTCCTCGTGGACTGCGTGCGTTCGTTTTCCCGCTTGAGATGACGGAAGGCTTGGCCGTGGAAGGGCATGGTGTGAATAAACGTGTATATAAAGACTGAAAAGGTGCTCGCTCAAGTGAGAGTTGAATGCATAAACCATCAAGCTCACATCAATCATCTTCAACTCAAAAAACCATCCATCTTCAAGTACCTCCCCAACTTCATCACAATGGATCAGATCAAGAACCTCGCCGGCGGAAGCAACGGCGCCTCCAACACTGCCGGTGCCGGTCAGCAGAAGCAGGACCCCGTTGACAAGGGTGAGTCGTCTTCTCATCACCTAGAGTGCAACGAGGACCATACTGACATTCACCCCCAAGTCTTCGACTTCGGCTCCAAGAAGGCTGGCCACGACTTTAGCCCCAGCACCGACGAGAAGATCACCGACGCCGGCCGCGGCGTCTACGAGAAGGTGACCGGAAAGAAGGTCAACCCAAAGATCTCCAACTAAATGTATACCACTGTATCGGGTTTAATGACGACATTGAATTAGTGCTATGAGAAATGGTCCTGTAGCATAGAACTACACCAATTTTAATGACAGGATTTGTACTTCATTATGAATGCGTGTGATATGCTGTGATCCCCAGTTCATAAGCAACCCTGTTGCGGCGGCCGCTAGACGGATCTCCATCGGCAGAGGATACTCGGGTTATTAGCTCAGTATGGCCAGCATGCCAAAGCTTAAATGACGTGATCGCTTGGCTGGAGTCCGATGAATAGCACGCACATGAGGTTGCGTCCGCTTGCGATGTCGCTATCGAAGAGTTAGGGTTTATGCACTGCATCGTGGGGGTCATCTTTGGAAGGGGGGAGGGGGTGTCATAGTGAGGAATGGTTTGCTCGGTCTTTTTTACATCATTTCTTCCTCATCTGTTTTCTAGTGCGTACGATTCACTTGGCTTGACGTGTCTAGCCTGACGAGAGGGTGGGAGAAGATAGTGTGTTAACCAAAAGTGTCATTCTGACGGCCAGCCAAGCCCCTGCAGCCACAAGGATGGAGATAGAGTTGAATAGATGCCCCCTATCTCCTGCATCTCGCGGATGGGAGCGCAACTCGACAAGCGCACGAGTGTGAGGGATGGCGGACGGATGGACAGAAGGGCCCACTCGGCGGATAATGCGGCCGGGCAGGAAGATATGGCTTATGCCGTCGCCGGGGACTGGCTTGGAGCTCCGTCATTGGCCGGCGGGGTATCTTTCGGATGCACCACGGTGTCCCCCGGCCGCCCGGAGTCACAAGCCCGTGTTTTTGCTCGTACAGATACGAAGTACGCCATATAAGGGGGAGAGGAACCACATGAAGAGCAGTATACACAAAGGCATCTTCCACTAGCACCCTTTAAGAAGAGGTGGCACGGCAACGAGACGAGGAATAGGGGTTGGAAGAGTACGTACCTCTGCAATACGATTAAAAAAATAGGGAAAGAAAGAAGGGGGGAAAAAAAGGACAGGAGGGAAAGTGTGCTTGATTCTTTGAATGGTTTTCTGAGGACCGAGCGCAGCGGCACACCCCGGTCAATCGGGGTATCCAATCAATACAATCTGCTGCTACGTATAGGTAGCTCTGCGTTAAGTTGCGTTGCATCCATCCAACAGCAAAATCCTCAGGCAATTCGTTGCAGCAAATCGCAGCGTCTCTTTCTTCGTACGTGCGGGTGATTCTGTACGCAGTACATGTGTTTTTCGCTGGATTGGCCGAGTGCACCTGCCTCCCTGCCATCACGTTTTCCTGCCAGCCGCACCGCACCTCCTTTTCTCGACAGACCGCGCTTAAAAGCCCAGACCTCCTTCCAACCAAAGGTGACAGTCGAACCAAAGCAGAAAGGGCAACAACCCAAGGTACGTGCTCTTTCTCCATCCCCTCTCGCTCTTGCTCTTGCCCAGCCGGTACGGTACTGTCTACGGTACCTAGTATGTATGTGTACATGCCCATCCCATATATCCGTAGAGGGAGTTCCATGTATCGTACGTACCCATCTCGGTAGGTATACAGTCAGGCAGGTAGCTGCCTACCTACCTAGGTACCTACCTACTTATCTACATAACCTTTCGACGGTATCATGTACCGTACCGGGACAGTATCCACGCGCGGCATCCATGGTCCATCGCTCATCCAATCCATCCTTTCCCACCCAATACCGGGCCACTGGCATACTTCCACCAACACATCCTGCATTGCACACGCACAGGCTCCGTGCCACACGTCGCATACCCGCTCAGATACGCCCGCAAATGCTGTCAATGGGCCGGGAAAGGGAACGACAGAGAGAGGGAAAAGCACAAAAAAAAAAGTCTGACACTCATTTACTAGCTAATAGTCAGCTGCTTTGACTTCATTCGACTTCATCCACTTGAGAACCTCATCGGTCAACGGAACATATCCCGACACACCTAATCAACAACATCCCTCCTTCTCCTATCCTCCTCCTCCTTTGCCGCCGCCGCCGCTGCCGACAACGACTCGACTCGAGCCCCGAACCCAAAACGGCTACTCGTTACCTCGTGGACCGTCGACCGTCGACCAACCCCCCTCGACCGAGACAAAGGAAACCTGTCCTGCTCAGCTAACCGAATGCATCCTCCGATCCGTGCAGCCATCGTCCACCATGGAACCTGAGGAGAACAGGCCCTCGAGCCCATCCACCCGCGACGGCCACCACGACGACGCCGATAACCGCCCGACCACCGCTCTGCGTGTCGATGGCGACGACCAAGACGATGCCTCGTTCCTCCATCATCCCGAAAACGCCTCCGCTCACCAGTCGCAAAACAACAAGACCCCGAACGAGGACCCCTCCGACGACGGTGGGCCTGGTCAAGAACACAGCCATAACCTTGACCGCGACACCGACACCGACCCAGACACCGGCCGCAAGACCCCCCTTTCCAAGCCGCCTGCCGGCCCCGATCCCTCAAACGAATCCATGCTCCCTCCCCCACGACCTCAAACCTCTGCCGTCCCCGACACCAGCTTCGTCGAGGGCGCCACCTTTGACGACTCTCGTCATGGCGACTCTTTGGCCGAGTCTGCCGTCCGCGCCCATCTCCAGGACGTCGAGTCGAGCTTCGTCTCCCGCCTCTCTCCCATCCCAACCATAACCCACGAGGGCACCGACGACACCTACCTCTTCGACGGCGCCGCTTCGTCCGCAAGGTCCCCTGCACCCGCGAGACAACCCCCTGCCAGCCCCAGTCCCATCCCCCGTCCGAGGCCCGAAGCGAACCACGACGACGACGACGACTCGGCCATGTCCAACATGAATAACCTCTCTGAGCTGCGGCCCCAAGACTCTGCCTCTGCTGACGTCTCCAACACGACGTCCTCCCTCGAAACCATGTCCTCGTCGCCCGCCGCCGCCGCCGCCGCCCGCACCATTTCCAGGGCTTTGTCCAGCGCCAGCGGCCGCACCGACAAGCTGTCGCTGGCGCCCATCCCGGCCGAGCATACAGACGACGATATTTCCTTTTCTCGCGCAGAGTCCCCCGCCGGCTCCCCCTCCACCACCTTGCGCAGCAAACAGTCCGATGGAAGCATCCATGGTGACCCCGTCGATGCCGGCAGCACACCGGGGCATGCCCTGAGCTACGGCACGCGGCCTAAGTATCTGCGAAGTCGCGTCACCAGCCAGCGCTCCTCTGTCTCCTCCTTCGTCACCAACCCAGATACCCACGATGATCTCGAGAGCGACGGCACCGCCAACCTGGGCGTCGACTTTGCCATGCATTCGGCCGGCGCTGCAACCACGTCGAGCCTGCCCCGTAGCCTCAGTAGCATACTGTCACGCTCCGTGAGCATGGGCAGCATGGTCTCCGGCATGGACGACCAGGACCCGCTACCCAACCAGCTCGAGACGCTCGAAGAGGCCGAGAACGCCTTCACGCCGCGGCGGCCGAGGCGAAACGAAGACCTCCTCGCCACGCCGAAACCCTCCAAAGAGAACCTCACCGCCCCCACCGACACCGTCATCGCCCGGCACGTTAGAAACGTGCACGTGCCCGAGTCCCTGGCCAAGGAATACAGGACCAAGAGCGGCTTCGTGACGCCCAGGAAGCCCTCGGACATGCCCCTCGGCGCTTCCACCAGGTCTGGTAAGAACCTGACGCTCAAGGAGCAGAGCAGCACCATCGAGCGGCTGTCCAAGGAGAATTTCGACCTCAAGCTCAAGGTCATGTTCCTCAGCGACCGCCTCGACAAGTTATCCGAAGAGGGTGTCAAGGAGATGATTTCGGAGAACGTCGAGCTCAAGACGAACCTCGCCGTCATCCAACGCGACAACAAGGCACTGCGGAGGAGGGTCAAGGAGCTGGAGAAGCAGCTCAAGGAGGACCAGGACCGACCCGGCACGGCCAAGAGCGGCGGCTCGTCCAACGACAGCTCCTCCGACCAGGATGCCCAGGAGCGCGAGGAGGAGCTCATCTACTTGCGCGAGCGCGTCGAGGAGTACGTCACCGAGATCGAGAGGCTTCGCAACGACAGCATGGCAAAGGAGGCAGAGAAGCGCAAGCTGAGCGAGGTCGTCAGGTCGCTGGGCGAGAGGACGAGCGGTAACCTCGGCACCCAGGAAGAGGCGGATGTCTGGAAGGATCTTCTCGAGCAGGAGACGGCACGGCGCGAGCAGTCTGACGAAGACAACCGCAAGCTCCGCGACGAGATCTTCCGCATGAAGCAGGAAATGAGCAGCGGCCACGGCGGCCTGCACCACACGACCAACATCTACAACATCACCAAGAAACCCAGACAGACGTCACCCAGCCGCCCCGTGTCTGGCCTCTCGGGAGACCACGAGACCAACGGCGGTTTCAGTGCCGCCAGCACGTTGGTCGAGGAACTGCGCAGGGAGAGTGAGCAGCTGCGGCACGAGAATGCCGAGCTGCGACGCGAAGTCGGCGCGCAGACCTCGATGCTTACGTCGAGGAACCGCGAAAAGGAACGTCTTTACCAGGAGATTGAGGATCTCAAGATGGCACAACGGCGGGGAGGCCCTGCGCCGTCGACAATCGACTCTCTCCTGGATCGTTCGGCATCGCGGGCCGGTGCGCATCGCAGGTCCATATCACGCGTGAGCGCCAGTAGGACTCAGATAACAGAGGTTGACGAGCTGGAGCGTGAAGAGCTCGAGAACAAGCTCGCCGAGACGCGCGACAAGATCAGCGAGATCAAACTGCAGAACCAGGAACTCCAACGAGAGCTAGAGGGTTGCATGGCCGACTTCGAGACCGCAGTCGAGGGCAAGAGGGAGGCAGAGGAAATTGCTGTTGCCCTCCAGGAGGACCTGGACAACGCCATGAACGACCTTGTGGCGCTGCAGGCCGAGCGAGACGAGGCGCTCAGGGAGCAAGCCGACATGGAGACGGAGTTTGAGGCGCTGCGGAAAGAGGCACAAGAGGAGATTGACGCCCTCGAAGGCGAGGCAGACCAACGCAACGACGAAATCCAGAGACTCCAGCACGAGCTCAACGACAGGACCGAAAACTTTGATGCACTGCAGGAGGAGATGCGTAAGATGAGCGAGGCCCTGGTGGGACTGGAGGACGAGCAGGCTGCCAAGATCCGCAGGATACAGCAGCTGGAGCAAGAGCTCGCGGACGCTAACAAGGAGTCCGAGGAGCTCGAGAACAAGCTGCTCGAGTCCAACGACAAGGCGCAGCGGCTCAGTGTGCAACAAGAGTCCAGCCAGGGCGAGATCGCCTTCCTCCGCGAGGAGCAGGAGGGCGACAAGATCCGCATCGGCGATCTCGAAGCGGCACTCGCCAACACCGAGCAGAGCTTACGCGACGAACGCGACAGGGTCAAGGAGCTCGAGCAACGCCTCGCGACGGAGCGCCGGCAGCACGAGATGGTCTCCAACCAGGAGAAGGAGGAGGTGCAGCAGTTCGTCAACGAAATTAACCGCGAAATGTCGGCGGCCAAAGACGAAGCTCGGAGGTTGCGTAAGAGTCTTACCTCACGCGAAGTCGAAGCGACCGAATGGAAGGAACGGCTCATGGAGCTGGAGAACAATCTCAGAGAGGCACTGGGCGATCTTAACGGGACGCGTTCCAGCCTACTCAAGGTGAGCGAGACACGAGGCTCTAAATGTGTGATTTTTTGTCTTCGTGCCACTGACGAGGGGACTATAAAAACCAGTCGATTGCCAAGCTCCAGCGCGAGCTCGAGAACACGGTCCGCGAGCTGGACACCACCAAGGCGTCGCTTGTCGAGAAGGACCGCCTCATCAAGCAGCGCGACGCGCTGCTCGAATCCCACGGACTGGAGGCCCGCAAACTCTCAGGAGAGCTCGAGAAGGAGAGGCAAGCGCACCGCACGACGAGGAACCAGTTCGAGACGTTCCAGACTAGGCACGTTCACGTGTCCAACACGGCCAGCACGCAAGAGCAGCGCATCTCGGAGCTCGAGTCGGCGCGCGCCCAGGACAAGAAGAGGATGTCGCAGCTCGAGTCGACGTTCAAGGACCAGCTGACGGAGCGAAACAACCTCCTGCTGGTGCTGTGGACGCGGCTCTCAGCCCTCTGCGGCACAGATTGGGCTCATGACAACAGCCTCATTAACGGGCGTGCCCTGCCCTCCCTCGAGGCCGTGGCCACGATGCTGCCTGGCTTCAGCAAAAACCTCATGGCGGCGGTCAAGACGATCGAGACGATGGTTGGCGGCTTCTCGTCCCGCATCAAGGGTGTGGAGCGGGACCTGTGGCGCGAGTACCAGAGTCTCGAGACCAACCTCGAGGCCCGGACGAAGAAGCTGGAGCGGCTAGAGACCATTGTGCGCAACAGTATGACGTCGGGGACCCTCGGGTCGTACGAGCAGGCCAGGATGTCGCGCTTGGAGGACGCCTACCGCCAGCTCAAGGTGGAAAACGCGACGCTGCGGACCGCGCAGGATGTCAGAACCCGGGCCGCCTACTCGGCAACCAACGACCCCAGCGCGGCTGTCCCCGACCCCGCCAGCGGCAGCCCCTCGCCGTCCATCCCCACGGGGCCTCGCGAGCGCGAACGAAAGGGCCGCAAGAGCGAGCGGACGCCGACGATGACGCGCAGCGTCTCGAACCAAACCGTTACGGCGACGACGCCCGGCTCCATCAACCACAACCCATATGAAAGCACGCTCGCAGAGAGGGAGCCGACGGACAACCGATGGATTTTCAAGCTACGCGACCTCGAGAACAAGCTCAAGGCAGAGCGCGAGGGACGCTCGCAGGACCGTAATGCGGCCAGGCAGCGGCTGGGCGGGCTCGAGACGGAGAACCGCGATCTCAGGAGCGAAGTGAGTCGGATACGCAGGGCGAACGGGCAACTGGGAGACAGTTGACGGGGGGGGGGGCAAGCGAGGTGAAGGGATGCGGGGCCCATTTCGTTTGTATTATTTCACCATCTGTATCAACACCAGAGAGCCGGAGTGGGCGGGCGACTTGTTATTTTGTGTTTTGTGCCTTTGTGCCCCTCCCGCTTTCTTCCTCTTTCAGCATCTGTAACGCCAGCAACGATGGATGGTTTTTGCTGGGGATTTGATGGAATTTGCGTGGGCAGGCAGGCCTCCTTTTGGGTACGATAGTCTAATACCAAAGCCCTCTGTCTGGCGTTGTTTGACGGGTCGGACGGACCACGGACATACACACACATATATATATATATATATTTATACCACGTACATGTCGATAAGGCGACCATGGAGTCCCCAAAGTAGCTTACCCAGCCCTGTGGTTAGGGTTAGGGTTAGCATGTTTGGATGCTTTTGTGGTGAGCAACCTCCCCTCTAACCCTTCGGGGTTCCCTCCGCATCGGCTCCACCGCCACCCGACCATTTATCGCAAAGTGATTTGTCCAAGGCCAGATTAGTCTCGAAATCTGGAGAGGATGGATGCATGTCATCATGTGGGTGATCCCTGAGCGTCCCCAACATAGGTATCGGGTGGGCGGCCCCTACCCGCCTATCCCTCCCCGCCCTCGCGATGACGCCCTCACGTCACGGCTTGATGGAGCATGCTAAGACTCTCTGCATGCTTGGCATCGGGATGGCCGTCTTCAGAAGCCCGACGTTGGCTGAAAGAAAGGCACTTGGAAGGTGGCCGGCTTATTGGATACAAGACAAATGGGCTCTCGTCTGCGATGGCGAGTCTTGTGTCTCGGAGGGGGGGGAGCATACATGAGTTGTTGATCTTTGATCTTATGATATACCCTACATATTTGAGTCTTCTTATTGGCACTGGTAAAGCCCACGGTTGAGTCTCGCTGGGCTTTTGTTGTTTTCTGAGAGCTTCGCGAGGTCGAGTTACACAGCGGCCATATAGTCCGTATAATCTACACCATCAAAAACTCGTCCCACGGGGTGCCATACCATAACATCATGTCCCGTCTCGCCGCCCTCCCTCGCCTCCGACCCCAGCACCGCACCGTCATGACGATGGGCGCTGCGGCCACGGCCCACCACGCGCCCAAAAGAGAGGGAGACATCTCGTCCGTCTTCGTCTCCCTCTCGGGCACCGAGCGCGCGCCCCTCCCCGACCGCTTCCGCGCGCTCAAGCGGGACCTCGTCGCCGGGCACGAGGCCGCCGTGGCACAGTCCTGGGGCCGCCTTCTGCGCGCGCTGCGGGAGGAGAACGAGGTCGTCCGGGCCGCGGGGCCGGCCGCGATCCCCAGCGTCGAGTTCCGGGACCTCAAGGCGGGCGTGGCGGCATTGCGGGACGAGATCCGCAAGAGGGGCGCCTTGGTCATCCGAGGCGTCGTCGACGAGGCGGAGGCGAGATCGTATAAAGACGAGATCGAGGCGTACGTGCGCAGGAACCCATCCACCAAGGGTAAGTGTGAACCGTCCCATGGCCACTCGACTTCGACTGACACGGCATGTATCCAGCCTTCCCACCGGATAACCCGCAGGTCTACGAGCTCTACTGGTCCCCCCCACAGATCCGGGCTCGGGCGCACCCTAACATGTTGAAGACGCAGGAGACGCTGATGCGCGAGCTCTGGCACGCGTCGACCGACGCCGCCATCTCGATGCAGCCCTTGACGTACGCTGACCGCCTGCGCTTACGACAGCCCGGCGACGCAACCTTTGCCCTCGGCCCGCACGTCGATGGCGGATCCGTGGAGCGCTGGGAGCGGGACGGGTATGGCCGCGGCGGCACCTACGACGCCGTCTTCCGTGGCGACTGGGAGGCCTACGACCCGTGGGACGCGACGGCGCGCGTCGGAGCCGTGCAGGACCTGTACAACGGCGCCGGCGCGTGCAGCATGTTCCGCATGTTCCAGGGGTGGCTGAGCATGAGCGCGTGCGGGCCGCGCGAGGGCACTCTACTGGTGAACCCGCTCGTCCAGCTCTCGACGGCCTATTTCCTGCTGCGGCCGTTCTTCCGGCCGCGGCGGGAGGTTCGGGAGATGACCTCGGGGGCTGCCGACGGCGCCGAGGGCTTCCTGGCCGAGGACAACTGGGCGTTCGCAGGCGGAGAGGCGATGAGCAGCGAGCTGCAGGGTGCGACGCCGGGCCACTGCCAGGAGCTGAGCGACGCGCTGCACCCGCACCTGCGACTCGGCGGCGGCACGATGGTCCACGTCCCGCGGATCCGGCCCGGAGACTACGTCGCGTGGCATGGGGACCAGGTGCACGCCGTCGACGCGGTGCACCGCGGCGCGGGGGACTCGAGCGTGCTGTACGTGCCCGTGTGCCCGGCGACGGATCTCAACGTCGCATACCTGGCGCGGCAGCGGGAGGCCTTCCTCTCGGGCCTTCCGGGGCCGGATTTCCCCGGCGGAAAAGGGGAGAGCGAGCACGTCGGGCGGCCCGGGGAGGAGGCCGTCAGGGGCGCGGAGGCGAGGCGGGCGATGGGACTGGAGAGGCTGCTGCTGCCGGCTGAGGGGGGGGAGGGACGCGGCGAGCGGGAGCTGATCGAGAGGGCGAACCGAGTACTGGGGTTCTGAAACTAGCGGTGAGACAGGGGGTAAGGTTTTCGGAATGTAAGGGACGGTGGTGCCGAGGTAGTCCATGAGACAGATAGAAAGACAGACAGATAGCAGGGAGAACGTACGAGACAGATGTCTTTGATGCCATCTGTGTGCGTGCGCAACGTCCTCTTGACCGTGACAGTGATGGGGGTGAAACTACGGCGTCCATTGTCTCGATACTCCTGGCTGGCTGGTGCCATTGACCAGGAACAAGATAGAGAGACATGAAGACGCAAGTGTTCACTCGGCCGGCGCGAAATTGGCCATAAGGGGGTGAGTCTGTCCGACACACCGCCATCCCTCACTCCAGTTGACCGGAATCCCAAGACGGTCAACTGGTCTCCCTCTACAGTCGCTACCGCCCAGTCCGACCCAGAAATATGAGACGGCAACTCCCTATATGATTTGTGAATCCAAGTACATGTCTATAGCCGAGGTATCTAAAGCCCAATCCCTTGACCTCCCCTTCCCCCCTGGCACGCAGTCCCTCCCCTCACGAGTCCGCCGCCTTCTTGCGCAGGACCCAGCCATAGTAATCAAACGCGCTCTCCCCGCCCTCCAGCACCTCCATGTCGAGGTCCCACGACGCGCCGGCGGCCTCGAGCAGCGGCCGGATGAAGTGCGGCTGGCGGTAGGTGACGTAGAGGAAGACGCCGGCGGCGGGCCGCAGGGCGCGGTGGACCTCGCGCAGGTACCGCGCCGTGTTGTCGCGGACGTCCGGCGGCGGCGACCACGGGCTGCCGTGGATCATGGCGTCCATGGTGCCCTTGTCGAAGGCGACGTCGACGGAGCCCGTGGGCGCGGCGTCGGGCATGTCGCGGACGTCGGCCCAGCGCCACTCGATGCCGTCGACGGCGGCGTGGCGCGCCGCCATGAGGTCGACGACCACGGTGGAGAAGTCGAGGCACAGCTGGTTCCGGTAGCCGCGCTCGGCGAGGTCGGCGGGGATGGTCTGGTGGTGTTAGCGCGTGCGTGTGTGTATGTATGTGTGTGTGTGTGTGTGTGTGTGTGTGTGTGTGTGTGTGTGAGTGTATTTGTGTGTGTATTTGTGTATATTTGTGTAAAAGACGAGTTCAGAGAGTGAGATGGGCGGTTCGAGTGTGTGATATAAGTTGAAACAATGAGTACAGGGAATGAGTGAGTGAGGGTGAGCAACGTACACTATCGCCGGACCCGAGGTGCATGATACGCGGCGCCGACTCCGGGGGTATCTGAGAGAAGAGGTGCCTTTGGAAGAAGGGCTCGAGGGCGGCAAAGGTGCGGAACCACTCGTGCGTCGGGTTCGAGCCGTCCGACTTTGTGTACCGCTCGTTCCAGAACTCGGGCGTGGCGAGGGCCTCAGCCTCGCCGGGTTCGCCCATCTTGTGTGCGAGGCGGATGATTGAGGTGTGCCGAGTTGTGAGTGTAAAGTGTTCAATGTGAGATGAGCCCGCGGGAGGTGAGTGAGAAGGTACTGCGTCGATGAGCCGACGATGAGTGAGCGAGTGAGTGTTGAGTGTGTGTGTACTCGGCGGGGTAAAATCAAAGTCAGTCATGGTGGGGGCGGGGCACACTCTTGAATTGAAAATGTTTAATTGGCTAGAGACAGACGGCTGTGACAGTGGGTGAGAATCCCCACGTCCCGATCCTCAGGTGAGGGGTTCATGATGATGTTGACGATGCTCCTGATGCCTCTTGATGATGAAGATGGGCGGTGTAACTTGAGACTCGGGAACACGCACAACCCGTTCTGAGTCTATTTGCTCCATCGTTCCTCACCCTGTCCTTCTCCTCCCGCTAGTCGCACTCATCAGTCCTGAAACGAACCCGTCGCATTCATGTTCATTTATACACAGTCATCAACGGCGAGTCATGGTACGAAATTCCGGGGGCAGCCACATGGGACACTTGGAGCTCCTCGAGCGGATGCCCATCCATACGTACCAGCTAGGGAGGGTCACATGGTGAAATCCATGTGGGTTGGGCAACTCACACATCGTCACTAGTGGTCCTGTCCTCGCGGGGGGGGGGTGCAGGTAAGAAGTAGTCAACTCGCGCATCTGATCTTGCTGACTTGTTCAATTCATTTAATTCATACTATTTATTTTTTGTATTCTTCCATGCTCTAATCCCAGGAACCCCCTCCGGGCGTCATCATGTGACGATGATTTCCCCTCCTCTCGCCACGTTTGCGTTCCCCCCCTCGGTTTTACTGCTGCTGCTGCTTCTGGTGCGCCTCGACAAAGGGGCCCATGAAAGGGGTGAGGTAGTCGCTCTTGCCGAGCTCGAGGCCCTTGGCGCGCAGGATGCAGTAGGCCGTCTGGATGTGGAAGAAGAAGTTGGGCATGCCGAAGGCGACGACGTAGTCGCGGGCGCGGATCTGCATCTCGCCCTTGCCGGAGCCGAGGCCGAGGGGCACGAGGGCGTCGGTGCGGGCCTCGAAGGTCTTGGGGTCGGCCGCCTCGACCAGGGCAATGGTCTCCTCGACGCGCTTGCGCAGGTCGCCGAGGCCGGCAAAGTCCTTGCCCCAGGCCAGGGGCTCGGTGCCCTGGACGCGGGTGACAATCTTCATGGCGCAGTCGGCGGCGACGAAGTACTGGAACGAGAAGGGGAGCATGTCGATGTTGTCGGCGAGCTTCCACCCGAGGATCGAGTCGGCGGCGATGGACTTTTCCGCCGCATAGGCCTCGGCCTTGCTCAAGAGGTTGAGCAGCGTCTTGAGACCCGCGAGGAGGAGGGGGACAGTGGCATCGTGAAGATTGTAAGTCATGGTTGCGGTTTTGGTGTTTGCCGGTTGTTTATGGTGTATGGGGTATGGGGTATATGGTTCTGTTCGTAGATGAGCGTGAATTTCCAACAGTCAAGACGTGGAAGTCATGGAGCTAGCTATATATGTCCTCGCCACCCCTCCCGAAACATCTGGGAACCCGGTGGAAACGTAGTCCGCCGCAACCTCGCACTTGGTCTCGAAAGAGCGGTGGGACTGATAGCTCTGCCCAGATACACGACGAGCCCGAGTGGGGTGGGTGCGGGACGGCGATCGGGCGTTTCTGTCGAGTTCGACGGGCGGGTCTCGGTTGACTAATGTGCGCTTTGCCGGTTGGACACTCGACGTAGCAGCCGTGACACTGGCCTTTTGTTTTGTTGTGTGAGTGTGTGTGTGTGTGTGTGTGTGTGTGTCCTTTTTGGTCCCGGATCTAACAGGGGAGGCCGAGTTTTCATCATCATCAGCTTCTTCATCTTTATCGTCATCACCATAATCAGATGATCCAAGTCACCAGGATCAACCTGAGCACGTTGAGTCGGAGCACGTTGGGTGTTCCTTCACGAGGCACCGCCGGCTTCTTTCTGACGGGCAAATGATACACACACACTCGCACCTACGAAGACGCACAAGGAACCGACACAAGAGGTAACAGACAAAGTGCCATGTGGAGTAGGATCGCTTTACACCCCGGACGGGGCCTCGGCCAAGATCCTCTGCCGCGCTGACAAATGCGAAATGTTTGCTTGTCCGTTCATGCCTTGTCCGACTGATACTCCGCCGCACCGACGCAAAAGCCCGCTGTCGAGTCGTGGTCCTACAGGCGGCTCGGACGGGATTTGCATCGCAGCGAATCATGGATGCCCGCTAACGGAGGGGGAAGAGAAACGTGGCGCTGAGAAATCCACCAGAAAACGAGGCTCCAAAAGAAATAGAGGGGGGGGGCCGTGTGAAGCATTGCAGATGTCACCGGCAACATGGCCCCCTTTCACCCTCTCTTTCTCCCCCTCTCTCCAGGTTAGACCAGATAGAGCTGATGAGAGTAAGTAGCACACGCAAGTGACGGCCAATCGGGCGTTTCCGTGGACAACGGCCCCAGAAGCTTAAATCAACGATGGAAACCCAAGTTGAATTGGGGGCTCATTGACGGGTTCGTCATGGTGAGAGTTGATTGCGTGATTCCCATCGCGGCTGGGCGGCGAGAAGGGCGTCTGCTCGCGGCTCCTTTGGAGGGGGGGGGGAGGGGAGGAAAGATTCCCCCAGTGCCGCCACCCACACTGCAGACTGTAGGGCATGAAACGAAAGCGCAGGGTTGCAGGGACGATCCCGCAGGAAAATAACGCTGCTTTGTAATCGACGAGGGAATGGAAATAAACCTAAATCCGTGTGCCATCGGACGAAACCGGCCCAACTCCGCTCTGACCGCCTCCGGCGCCATTCGGCCGGCCCGTCCCGGTCACACACGCACACACACACAACGGCGTTAGTGTCGTTCCCCATAATAGGTGTTTGTGATCCATGAGGCCTTATTCCGTATCTCTTGAAGATTACTCGCTGAAGTGCCGTCCTCCCCTGCCTGCGGTTCGCCGTGGACCGTCGGTATGTGCATTAGGGCAGCATACGTACCTCTAACGGTCCTAGCCGAAGGCGCTGTCGAATGTCAGTATACCGGACTTCATCTGGTCTTAGTCCTGCCTGTCTTGAAGAAGAAGTTTGATCGTGCCAGGCTCGCCGGCGGAGTCGGTGTCGATACATGTCTGTGGCCCCCCCGGGGACCGAGTAGCACGAAGAAATCAAGAAAGGGAGATACTGAAACGCAGAGAGAACGGTCTTCAAGAGGGAGCAAAGAGGTAGGACATGCCATGCTCCCCCATCACTTCATCCTCGCACTCGAAGCGCGAAAGTGTCGCGAGAATGCCGCGCCAATATGACTGCTAAATTTAAATCAGAGGCACCCGAGCTCCCCACTCACCTGCGGTCCCTAGGATGCCTTCAATAACATCACAATGCAGAAGAAAGCAACAGACAGAGACCCCTGCCTCTTCCACTGCAAGGGTTGTTTGATGAGTGCATTTCCCCTGGCCGGTGAATAGTGGTTTGGCCAGTCGGGTTCCTCTGTTTGTCTCCCGATCTCGAAAGTAATGACGCTAGCAAACTGCAAGCATCTCGGGCCACCTGAAATCTGCGCCCTGCCTCGCGAGATTACGAGCATTGTTGGCTGCCCGGTCTCAGCTGTTTTCCCACCGTGTTTTTGTGTGATTGTGTACGAGTTGGAGCTTAAGAGAAGGCATATTTCACTAGCATTAAGGGTTGATTAACCTCGCCCTTTCTTAGACTCGACAAGACCGGAAACTCCCATCTACACCAAACAACACTTTGCACAGCTCGTGAAGCTCGTCTAGTGTAGCTCTGGTGCCCCAGCAGATCATGGAAGAAAAGGGGGGAGCGGAGACGGGATGCAGGGGAAGCTTACCCGGGCTTCGCAACTTTCTTTTTCCAGGGTTTAACCCCACATATAACTCTCCAATGAGTCGTTGTGGCCATGCAGCGATGCGAGAGAAACATGACGGAAATCCTCTACTCGACAGATAACCTCCAAAGCTATCTAGGTGTCCGTGGATGAACCTATATGTACCCCAGAATGACGAGGCCGAACGCCATAGTACTTGCACGTGTTCCCAATGGCTGTGGCCCTTGAGTCTGAGAAGCTCCATGTCGAGTGCGGAGAAGCGAAGAAGCGATAGTCTGGAAATAAAGTTGATGGGCGCCGAGAAAATAAGTAATTGCTGGGGAGTTGTCACTAGGCCAGAACACATTAACCGCGTCGTTCGGGAGTTCCGGAGATAATATCGTCAGTGCATCCCATGACCACATAGATATCATAGGCCACTTGACATGAGCTACCGATGATGCAAGTAGTCGATACTGGAGCAGCAAGCCATGGCAATTATGTGCACACGAGTGAGTGCCTGAATACCTGATCTAGAAACAAGAAAACGAAGCCTCGAACGCGTCTCCGAGGGCAACCAACTACACCAAACTTGCATGTCATCTTACACTAGTAACCGGAATGGCTGGCAAGACTGCATGTAAACAGGTTACACTTCGTACAAGAAAAAGGAACAGTACAACCTGGAAAGGGCAACGCGGTGTGATAAGACCCTGGCCCTTGTTTACAAGCCATGTTGAAAGCGGCCGACTCTCGGTTGCAGACGCTGCAATGTCTCGAAAAAGAAACGTGACGGCAGCAGGATTGAACGACTTTTGGCACTTTAGATCAGTCCGTCGCCCCGACGAATGCTACAGGGATAGATTGCAACATCAAGAACAAGGCCCAGATAACAGGTTTGATAGACGTCCCATGCAAGCCCGATCTCTACATGCACCAATCAACTTGAGGCAGTGACCAGGAGTAGAATAGAGTCTAAGTAATAGCTTAACAATAAAAGAATAAAGGGGATCCCAGTGCTCCGTACAAGGCAACATAATATCTGTAGCGACCTGTGTTTGACTTTTTTTCTATTCCAGTTTCCAGCCGAAGAACTTCTTGGTTTATTCTCTACGTCGAAGTAGGGACCATGATGATGGGTTCATTCCGCGCTAACCGTGTCAATTTCTACCCAAGACATTCAGCAGTGGCGGAGAAGATTAACAAGAGTAGATTAAGGATTTCGAGAAAGACCCGAAATGACGAATTCAGAGGCCTCGTGGCGGCACTGGAGAGACAAAAGGTGAACCCGAGCGTTTCTGACTCCGTCAACTCACAGAAAAAGACAGCAGAGTCGCGTACGAATCTCCTTCACCCAATGTCTACGGGCGTCGGTACGACTATGGTCAACCAAGTCAGTGGTTTATATCTCTGTCCACGGTCCTTTCTTGGTCTTGCTTGAACCCGCTGACATGAAAAGGCTCCTATCAGGAGGCCCCCGACAGTCCCAGGTCGCAACAGAGACAGACACAAAAGTCTCCCGGTGACGCCCCCTCCCCCTCCTCTGCGCTTGCCCTCCATGCCTCCGATATCTCGTCATAAGAATATTACCTTTGGCAAGCTTGCTGGTCTACGTCGATCCGCCAGGCCAGCGGCGGCCCTCGCCAACGCGAATATCATGACCCATACGACAGACGAATTCGTTGACCATCAGGACCGCACTATTCTCCCGTCGATAGAGTTCACTCCGTCTAGGGACAGAAACACAGAAGTGCCCGACTCCGAGGCTGACGACGATCGCGAGTCCAGCGTATCGGATGATTCACTGATTGTCCTGCCGCCTACGGAGACCGATAAGCTACTCAATTGGCCCTCCAATAATCAGTCGAGTTCTTCGTCGACCTCTAATGATCAATCGAGTTCTTCCTCGAAGCCCGCTGGTGTAAAGCCAGTCGCTGCCGTTTCCACAAGTAGTACGAAAAGAAAGGTATGACGTTTTGTTACAAACATTCATCCTCAGCCTGCTGATACTTCGTCATAGAGCCCCAAGTCCAAGTCTTCCTCCAAGAGGCGTCCGTCCAGTTCAAAAAAGAAGAAGAAGGTGACGATGAAAACGAATGTAGGCTGTTGTCTCCAACCCCATCCATACGTCTATGATGCAGCATTGACAAGTAAGAAAGGCTTCAAGCAAGGCACAGACTGGTCCCGCAGTAAATACAGGCACAGAGGTACTGTTCATCCCAACGATCATCCATCTGGTCAACGGAAATCTGACACCTTACGAACTTACAGCCTGGTGCCGCAACTGCCAGCCCACCAGCCTCAGGACAGACCGAAGAGCAACGTCGGGCAAACCAGAGCAGCGAAGAATTGACCAAGCGTGCCTTGGCCTACAAAGAGTGCAATGCGCGCGCATTACACGCCCGAAACGTCGCGAAGACCGACGTCGAACTTTCCAAGGCCATGGTGCAGGACTTGGACAACGCCGCGGGTGCCAAGGTGGGATACGACGAGAAGCTCAGGCTCTGGAACAACTCGGCGGTCGAAGCATGTGACACGAGGGAGTTTCGACGCAACTTGAACGAGTTTCTCGCCAAGAACGCCGATTTTCTCGACAAATATGGCAGATACAACCTGTTACGGGACAAGGAACAGATGCAGTGGGACCAGGAAATGAAGCAACGACTTGTCCCAGCAAAGGCATTGGGATGCTTGTCCATGACATTCGAGAACATGAATCAAGCCTTGGATCAGAACATCGCCCTCTTGGATGTGGTGCAGCTCGAGTACCGAGCTCCTGATCTCGAAACCTTGGCGGAGATACCTACCCGGCAGACGATGGCCAAGATGAAATTGGCCGAGGCCGAGGACCGGCTAGTTGCTGCGCAAGAATGGCTTGACGGTATGGTATGGCGAGTTGACGAGTTCTATCCAAAGTGGTTCTGGCAGTGGAAAGAGTCCGCGCCGGCAAATGTAAAAGAGACACTATGAAGTTTGATATCTCCCACAGCCCTGTTTTACTAGTTTCGATTTTCCATTTGCATGAACGACTACAGGGTATTCTGCCCCCTTTCTTCACTTGTTTATTAGGATGTCATAATCACTATTATATCCAACCCACATCCAAACATATCACTAGGCCTAGTCTATTACTACTCTGTCAAGAGTGAGACTCTTCATTCCCTTCATCCCGGGGCTTGCGCACCCAAACCTCGTCGATTAAGTCCCCTTCACCCTTGACACATACCCATTCTCCCATTCCGTACTCCTTCGGCGCCACCCTACATCCTCTACCGCCGCCGCCAACGATGAGGTTACCCGGCCTGTACTTCTCGTCTCTCTTCATTCTTCTGATAACGCTGCCATGGACTCTGACCTTGTCAGGGATGTCGCGAACTTCCCCGCGAGGCAACGGCCACCTAATGGGTTTCCAACTGCCGTCGGGTCTCAGATCGAGTCTGCGAAAGGGAAGGTATTCCATCGCCCTCCACATGAAGACGCTGACAGGATGCATGCCGCATGCGAAATCAAGCGAATCGTGGATCTCTGCCTCGTGTGCGGTCCGCATCATCTCGGCGAAAGGCGTCGCCGTGCAGGTGTGTGCCAACGGGTCCGGATTTTCGTCTGTTTTCTCTGTCGTCGAGCCATCCGGGGACTCTGATGGGAAACCGACCGGCGGAGAAGGGGCGTCAACGTGAATTTCTGGGACTCCGGGCACATCTTGAGGCATGAGAGATGGCGGTGTAGGTTGCGGATTAGGTCCTGTCACCGTTTCGACACAACCCAAGTACTCAAGTTGCTGGACGTCGAAAGACAGCCCTGCTCGCATGGCTTCTCGGACCATCCAAACGAGGGGAATATGGCTGGCATTCTTGCGACCTGCGACGGCGTCCCAGCCGCCACCGATGTCGCCATGACCGCCAGCGAACCACACTTCTTCGACGTTTTGGTCGGCTTCGTCGTCATCCGAGTCGTACGTCAGGTCTTCCATTGGTGGCTTAGAATGGATAGAGGAGCCATCGTGGTCCGTGTGCGCACAACGTGAGCCATCGGTTGCTCTGGATCTGGACCTGGAACGGCTGCGAAAGGGGGCAGGATGGTCTGCGTTGTCTTCCTGGCTTTGATGATGGCGTCTCCTCCCGCGATCTTCCGCGGCGACGGCATCGTCGGGAGCGAGCGTCGAACGCCGGCCAGGGCGGTACTTTTCTTGAAATTCTTGTAACTTTTCGTTGAACGGCTGATGCTCCATCATCCGTTTGGCCGTGTTCTTCCTGTGACACTTCTTGGGCTCTTGGTATATCAGATCCTGCCGAAACTTTGCCCGACGTTCGTCGATGCTGACTGCATGTCGAACGACTTTGGCAGAGCTGCGTGCAGTGTACGGGAACTTGCTACGCTGCATCCATGCCGTCTCGAAACGGGCTACACTGTTGACCGAGTCAAAGATTCCCAAAAATCGGATGCGTCGGATCGGCCGGGAAAAGGTTTCTCTGAAACCTCTGAGAAACTGATACATTTGTTCCGTTTCCTCCTTGCCCTTCGCCGTCGAGTTGGTCCGGCGGCATTGCCACTGAGAAAACGCGTTCCACGCAAAGGCAACCATCTCCTCGTTGCCATGCAAGAGGAGACCGACAAAGTCCAGCATCTCGGCGAGGAATCTGGCAACATAGGCCCCTCTGGAAAAGCCAAACATGTAGATATCGTCTCCCGGCGAGTAATACCGCATCAGAAACCGATACCCCCCGACGACGTGCTGATCGAACGAGGAGCCGACGACGGAGTCTTTGGCCATCTGATACCAGGACTTGCATTTTGCTCTAATGCCGTTGTGAGTCAGGTTCTCCGACACGACATATGTTCCAATTCCGGCTATGCAGCGGTTAGTTTCTTTGATCTACGTGTCTTCTCAGGGGCTCAGAAGTTGGAAAGCTCACGCTGGTAGTAATGATCTGAGATGGTCAGTAACTGGATATTGTTCTGTATTATGTCCCTGTATGGATTGCCTTACATTGATCGTCGGCTGAGCTATCGAGCATGCGAAAAATCTTGAGGATGTTACTGTCGCTGTCATCGCCTCGAAACTTATTGCCGGTGCCATCGAAGCAGAGAATGAGTTTTCTTCGAGGGCCTCGTTGCTGGCTTCCTCGATACGCCCCATTGCCAGTTTGGTCGCCCGGCTCTGTTGCGCTCATTCTGGGGCTACCCCCCCGTTGTCTGGAGGAACCGAGGAGGTGAGGATGCATAGCGAGTCGTGCGCTTGGGCCAAACTGGCAACAAGTCTTATCTGATTCAAAGAAGATAAAAGGGGCGAAGACGGCACACGACAGCCCAGCCGAAGGGAGTGCGAAAGATACGTTGTCGTATACAATGGTAGAAGCCACCCGATAATATCTCCGTTAAAGCGTCTGACATTCCACAGCGCTTGAACAGTGATACCACGTCTGGCCGTCTTGTAGGTAGGTTTTGCAATGGCCTGCATGCATGCAAGCGGATGACGGCGGGATGCATTTTGCATCCTCTGTTATAGCCTCGGCCGGCAAAAGGGGACTTAAACTTCACTGGTTCGGGAAACGCGGCTGCGTGGTGCAATGAAGCCGGGTATGACACTAGCTTCGTGTCTCTTCACCGTCTATCCCTCAACCAACCAAATTAATTAACAGAACGGGGGTGTCGATCATGATGGAAATTGATCTGCATCTCAGCCGTGAAACAACTCACGCCTTGATAATTATATCTAAGACTGATCTACAATCAACAGTAAGAATTCGTGAAATCTATGAAATGCAGCTAAACTGATAGATCAGTTGAGGCGTTCTTAGCACAATTGTTTTCAGCCGGTGATTGAGACAGGCATATCTAGTGTAACTCAAGATACGGGGGGAATGTATCATGTGCGAGAACCAGCACGTTGGCGCTCGAAAGTTAATACCCGAAGTGGTGCTAGCTTACACTGGCGCGATAGATTGGTCTCAGAACCGTTGTCCTCTTGGCTTCTCGCGATGCCGTCGAGGCGTATCTGCAAATATGTCATAGAATAGACATTATCAATCAGCCACATCTCAATGCCAGCTAACTCTGATAACCTTGCGAGATAATCTTTTGGGCTTGGTTGTGATATCACCTGGGATTGGGCCCTTTTTTGTTGAATTTGTAAGTCGAGTGTTTCTGCCATCCAAGACATGACTAACATTGTGAAAAGTTTTCAGTTGTTTTTGCTTCTGTCGATGCGATGCGTACGTGAGACAGGGTCGAACACAATGCTCCATCCCTTGCCGCTCATATCACATGAGAATAGCGACATGCAGGGGAACAGAAACAAACCGACTACCTAGCTAATCTAGTGCAGAAGCGGGCGGCTTCAGGAATATAGCACAGCATACACAAACCTGCGGGTGCTTGCTGCATCAACAGTGTGTGTAATTAAGGTCCAAAGCTTCAATACCAAACTCCACCACCCTCCAATAGCACCACCATGTGTCGTAACTTTCAACGAACTGCCGGTGGATGCGGAGAATTTAGCAACCCAGTCTCTATTGGAATTTAGAAAGAAGAAAGACAGGGAATTCCCCCGGTAATGCTTGGGGCAGGAAACGATCGTCAATCGGGCTGAATAATAAGACCCCTAGTGCCGCAACCTAGCGTTGCCGAACGGGATCGTCGTGGACGGCTGCAGGCGCGCACTCGGCCGATATGCAGCCGGTGTGAAACATTCCAAGACATGACCCAAGACAGGAAGAAGCTGTCGGTATGTCAAGGCTGGGTGTGAGCCCCCTACCAGCCAAGCTCGCATGCTCAATAAGGGCAGAAGAATTATCTGCCAAGAAGCATTGGACAGGTCACACTGCAACTTAAGATTAGTGTGTAATCGTGAATGACAGTCTAGAAATTATATAGGAAGACCAAAACCCTGACGAGAAGCCGTGGGTGTTCGCAAAGTTTCATCGGGAAGACGTATTCCAAGACACGTTTATCTCCGTATACCATGAAATCCCATCGAAACGGGAGCCTCACGATGCCTGACGTCGGAGAGTATGAACACTCCAGTGCTGTCTCCGGCAAAGGGCCCCCCGTGAGCAATGTAAAGCAGCCTGGACCAAGTCGCGCATCCGCCCGATATGGCTCTCATGATGTCAAGAAGAAGAGCGGTCTCTCAGCGCTGCGAGAGGCATCCAAACGGCCACTACCTACCCAGAACGGTGATGGGACCTATCCCAAGGAGCTGATTCGGCCGACAATGGTCCAAAACCTTCGGGCGCTGCAGGCAGCAGGTCAGTTCCATGACACCATAAAGATTGATGTTATTCTTGCTAAACCCCGAGGCAGACGTGAAAACCCTTGTGCAGATCATCAAATCCAAGATCAAGAGGGAGAAGATCCAGGATGACAAGACCATGATCATGGAGCGCACCATCCAGATCGTGGCCAAACTCCCCCATCACTCTCAACTTCGCGAGCAACTGACGAACACTTTCATCAAAGAGCTTTGGGACTCTCTTGAACACCCACCCATGCTGTACATGGGCGATGAGTACAAGTATCGGCGCGCAGATGGATCCTACAACGTCAGTTGAGTCATTTCACAGCCAAACCGGCAACGTACTAATACTCTATCAGAACCCAATGTTCCCTCAGCTTGGTGCCGCCGGCGGTGCATATGCGAGATCAGTTAAGCCTCGGATTGTCACGCTGGGTGCAATGCCTGACCCTGGCTTGATATTTGATGCCGTCATGGGCCGTACGGATTACAAGAAGCATCCAAATAACGTATCGAGCATCCTGTGGTATTGGGCAACCATCATTATCCATGGTAAGGGCCCATCTTCACCAGCCTAGTCTAGACACGACACTGACTGACCTTTCCCAGATCTGTTCTGGACCGACTACAGGGACAGCAACAAGTCCAAGACGTCGGCTTACCTCGATCTCTCCCCGCTGTATGGCAGTAACCAGGAGATGCAGGATTCCATCAGGACCTTTCGGGATGGCAAGCTCAAGGCGGACAGCTTTGCCGACAAGCGGCTTATCGGAATGCCGCCGGGTGTCTGCGTCATCCTAATCATGTTCAACCGATTCCACAACCATGTCGCAGAGCACCTCGCCGTCATCAACGAAGGCAATAGGTTCGCGCCACCAGGCAAAGGCCTGGAAGAAGAAGACGCCGCAAAGGCCTGGAAGAAGTACGATGAAGACCTGTTCCAGACAGCACGACTCGTGACTTCTGGCCTGTACATCAACATCACATTGGTCGACTACGTCCGCAACATTGTAAACCTGAACCGCACCAACACGACATGGACGCTCGACCCCCGCCAAGAGGCTGGCATCGACGCCGGTACTCCTGACGGAGCGGAAGCGGGAACCGGAAATGTCAACTCAGCCGAGTTTAACCTCTGTTACAGATGGCATTCCTGCATCTCGGATAAGGACGACAAATGGATCCAGAAATTCTATGGAAAGCTTCTGGGTGGCGGTGGCAAGGGGGAGCTGTCTCCGCAAGAGCTGGCTTGCATCTTTGGGAAATTCGAGAAGTCGATTCCCGACGACCCTGGCCAGCGTACCTTTGCCGAATACCAACGAGGGGAGGACGGCAAATTCGACGATGACGATCTGGTCGACTGCATCAGCTCAGCCATCGAAGATTGCGCTGGCGCATTCGGAGCTCGCAACGTCCCACAGGTCATGAGGCCGGTCGAGATCATGGGCATTCTGCACGGCCGCAAGTGGAACGTCGCAGGTCTAAACGAATTCAGAAAGCATTTTGGTCTGAAGCCCTACGACCGGTTCGAGGACATCAACTCGGATCCGGCCGTGTCTGAGCAGCTTAAGAACTTGTATCAGCACCCTGACTACGTCGAGCTCTATCCGGGTCTCGTCGCCGAGGAGGCCAAGACGCCCATGACGCCCGGCGTTGGTATCGCTCCGACATATACCATCTCACGCGTCGTGCTTTCGGACGCAGTTTGTCTTGTCCGGGGTGACAGATACTACACGACGGATTACAGCCCTCGCCACCTGACTCAATGGGGTTACAAGGAGGTCGAATACGACCTGAATGTCAATCATGGCTGCGTCTTTTACAAGCTGTTCCTGAGAGCCTTTCCCAACCACTTCAAAGCGAATTCCGTCTACGCTCACTACCCCATGGTCATCCCTCCCGAGAACCATCAAATTCTGACGGACCTGGGTCGCGTCGACCAGTTTGACTTCTCCAAGCCCAAGTTCACCCCTCTGCGAACGAACATTGTGTCATACGGAGGTGCCAAGCACATCTTGGAGAACCAGAACAAATACAAGGTGACATGGGGTGAAGGTCTCTCGTTTCTGATGGGTGAGGGCGGCAGCCGTTTCATGCTTTCCGGAGATACGGACTTTCACGCGGGCCAAAAGAAATGCATGCAGTCCTTGCTTTACAAGGACGGCTGGGACTCTCACGTCAAGCAATTTTATGCTCTGATCACGGAGCAGTTGCTCACGGAAAAGTCGTACAATCTCGCCGGTCAGACGCACGTCGACATCATTCGTGATGTCGGCAACATTGCCCACGTTCACTTCGCTTCGAGGGTGTTCAACTTGCCTCTCAAGACCGCCAAGAACCCCAAGGGTGTCTTCTCGGAGCAGGAGATGTACGAAATCCTGGCGGCCATCTTCATATGCATCTTTTTCGACATCGATCCCGTTAAGTCGTTCCCGCTCCGACAGCAGGCCAAAGAGGTGGCGATGAAGCTTGGGAAGGCGATCGAGACAAATGTCAAAATCACTACCAAGGTGGGCTTCCGCGGACTCTTCACTGGCACGGCGGACAAGGAAGACCCGCTTGCTTCGTACGGGACCAACATGGTAAAGGGCCTTGCTAAAGCCGGTCTGAGCGCCTATGATATTGCGTGGAGCCAGATTTTGCCCACGTCGGGGGCCATGGTGCCCAACCAAGCACAAGTGGTGAGTGTTTCCTGGTCTGGCAACTAAGACAGATATGCTGACATACTGGAATGCAGTTTGCCCAGGCTGTCGACTATTATCTCTCGTCCCCAGGTAGCGACTACCTTCAACAGATTCACAAGGTGGCCATGTCTCCGTCGACGAAAGAGAATGATGCTCTCCTTCTCGGATACGCCATGGAGGGCATCCGGCTTGCAGGAACCTTCGGCTCATACCGCGAGGCAACGCAAGACGACGTCATCGTCGAGGACGATGGCCGCGAGGTCCCATTAAGACGAGATGATAGGGTCTTTGTCAGTTTCGTAAGTTCAAGGTCCAGATTGATATTGGCTGGGTTCCGAGCTAACCCAAAGTTTAGGTTTCTGCCGCTATAGACCCCGAGCACTTCCCTCTGCCGGAAGAGGTCAATCCCCGCAGACCCCTTGACTCGTACATCCACTACGGTCTCGGCCCGCACGCCTGTCTCGGTCGTGCCGCAAGCCAAGTAGCGCTCACCGAGATGTTCAGGGCACTTTTCCGGAAGAAGAACGTGCGACGGGTTCCGGGACCTCAAGGCATCTTGAAGAAGGTGCCTAGGCCCGGTGGTTTCTTCGTGTACATGAAGGAGGATTGGGGTCAACTCTGGCCGTTCCCCGTGTCCATGAAGGTGATGTGGGATGAGGACTAGATAGCCATAGAGACCCAGACCGAGCAATTGCATATATATGGACGACAATGATTTGCGGATGACATTCCTGGCTGTCAATATTAATGCACAGTTGGATGATAAATCACATTGCCTAACAGACTTTATGTCACGAGTTCGCGCATATAGCAGGACGTATGAAAATGATGCTGAAATATGCTTGATTCTAGTGAAAGTGAAGATGAGAAAAGCATGGTCGTCTAATTATGTAGGTAAGTATTGCGAGTAGGGAATTTGAACTATACGTGATGTGGCACGTGACAAGGCTGGTTATACAACTCTAACGATTCAGGAGACAAATTGAGAAGTTATGTCAACATCAATCATTCAATCGTGTCACCTTTTGATCGTCAGGGATGACACGGATAATGCAGTTCTTGCGATGACGAACGCCGCTCTGCCGGATACCAGTGGGGGCATGGCATGCCAGTCGTTGCGTGGCAAGGAATGAGGGAACCATGGCCACATGACAGGGGCCAGTTGAGCGTCATGAGATGTCTTGGGCACTTTCGGGGCGTAATCATCCAAACAGTCGGTTTCACTAGAATTGCGAGGCGAGGCCGGAACCTGAATGGGTTGATATGCCAAGAGGGGCGTGGATACACGCCAACGGAGATTAAGGATCGGAACAAGAGTCGCAATGAGATTGAGCTGGCGATTTCTGGGATCTCTTGGTACAATGATGAACCCAATGGCACCTATTGGGTATATTTCTTGGACGCTTGGCCCTCCCACGAAACTCAACGAGAGCATGTACTATGTATGAAGAAGATTTTCCCCTCTGGCCTGTAACCCTCTCGCAGTTATCTCTTCGTAACAAGACCTGCCTAATTGAATCTGTTTTTTGGGAGCCTCGGACCAAACAAAAGTCCGCCTTCGGCCCCGAAACTGGCCAGGTCCAACGGCGCTGATCAATTTCCGACCATGGTTTGTTTGTGGGCGTTTCGCATCGATATTAAACCTTGTTATTTAATTTATCCGGGGTACATGGCCCTTCAAACCCGTCCACTCATGTGCAAGAACCATCTCCAAAGAGAGCCGAGACTTGAAAAACAAATCAATATGCGGCGCGGGTACACTGCGCCCAGCCCAGTCCAGCCACAGCCAAACCAATGTTTGCCCACCTTCGACCCATCTGGCGAACAAATCGTCGGCCCATTCATCAGTACTGGTGATCCAGCCCAGCTAGGTCCTTAGGGCTGGGATCTAGGAATGTCTGTACCCATCTAATTGGGGCGTCGCCCAACGGACATCAACCGACGGCCCCTCTGCCAACATTGCCATCCGACTCATGCTGCGTCTAAGTGCTTTAGAGTGCTATTGAGGACTCCCTCATTGGTCAAAGGACCCGATAGTACGGATCAGTCTGCCTGCCACCCATGTTCGTCAACCACGCCTTCCACCTTGGTTAGGTCATTATGGACCCATCGTTGTGGATGGATGCTATACTGACCCTCTCAACCCCAACTACGGAGTATGACACTAATAACGAGAGACGGCCGAATTATTCTCTTGCCATCCTTTTTGATTAGGACTCTTATGCTATGATACCCACAGAAGAGAAGATATATAGACCGGCCGGTAATCACTCGGGGCTCGGATTGTCACCCTTCCCTTATCTCACGTTTCCGTGATCACAACTTCATTTCTATTACATTTCTTCGCGCTGGTTGCTGTTGCCTTTCTTCTGCCCTCCGAGACGGGTTTACACTCTCTACCTCTCAACACAGTCGTGTTCCATTCCTTTCACACCAAATCCTAGACTAACACGCGGCACTTACAACCACACTCTCTAACGGTTAACTGGAAACATATCATACGATCCTTCACCATGTTCAAGTCCCTCCTCTCCGCGGGGCTTCTGGCAGCGGCGGCCGCCGCACAGCAGACATCGTCGTACGTTGACGCTGCCTCTGGAATTACCTTCCAGCGGCACAGCGAGACGTCCGGCTTCGCCTTCGGTATCGCTCTGCCCACCACTGTTGGCAAAGACTTTATCGGCCAGATCTCAGCCCCTGTCTCCACAGGCTGGGCCTCCGTTTCGCTCGGCGGTCCCATGACCAACAAGATCCTCGTTGTAGCGTGGCCCAACGGAGACTCGGTCCAGACGTCCATACGCAAGGCCAGCGGATACTCGAACCCGGATGTCGTCACCGACTCTGGCATTACCCTGAAGCCTATCGCTTCTGGCATCTCCGTCAACGAAACCTCCTTCACTTACACTTTCCTCTGCCAGGGCTGTATCACTGGCGACGAAACTACCTTCACCGGCACCGCCGACATCACCACCTTCGGCTGGGCTTACTCGACCACTGCGCTCTCGGACACCTCCAGTGCCTCCGTTGCTCTCAACTACCACGGTGCCGGTTTCGGCCTCTTCGGCGCTAACCTTGCCGATGCTAAGTCGGCTGACTACGCCACCTGGGCTGCTAAGGCTTCGGATGCTGCCACTACCCCCGGTGCCGGCAACGGCACCGCCCCCTCGGTCCCTGCCAACGTCACCACCACCATCTCGAACACGACCTATGATTACATTGTCGCCGGCGGTGGCGCCGCAGGCCTCATTGTCGCCGAACGTCTGGCAGAGTCTGGCAAGAGTGTTCTGCTGCTTGAGCGTGGCGGTGCCTCCATCGCTGCGACCGGCGGGAAGGCCACTCTCGATTGGAACAACACCGTTACCCAGTACGACGTCCCGGCCATGGGTTACTACCTATCCACCGCCAAGGAGACGAGCGAGTACTGCACCGACACTGCTTCCCAGGCTGGATGTCTTCTTGGCGGCTCGACCATGGTGAACGCCATGATGTGGGTTAAGCCTGCTGCCCATGACTTCGACGACAAGTGGCCCGCGGGCTGGAAGTGGAGTGACGTCGAGGAGTCTGCCAACAAGCTCTACGAGCGCACCCCCGGCACCATCCTACCCAGTAAGGACGGCAAGCGTTATGACCAGGGCGCTTACGATGTCATGTCCAAGTGGCTGGCCGGCAACGGTTTCACCGAGGTAAACGGCCTAGCGGAACCCAACAAGAAGGAGGCTGTCTTCACCCACCCCCCTTGGTTGATCGAGAACGGCCTTCGTGGAGGCCCCATCCGTGACTACCTCCCCCGTGCCCAGGCCATGCCCAATTTCAAGCTCCAGCTCAACGCCAAGGTCGTTCGCGCCGTCCGTAACGGCACCACCATCTCCGGTATCGAGGTTGAGACCGGCAAGAACACTCGCCAAATTATTAACCTCAAGTCTGGCGGCGCCGCGATCCTTGCTGCCGGTGCTCTGTCTACGCCCCGTATTCTGTTCAACAGCGGTATCGGACCCAAGGAGCAGATTCAGACGGTCAAGAGTGGCTCTGTGCCGGTCACTCTGCCGGCCGAGGCCCAGTGGATCGACCTTCCTGTCGGCCAGAACCTCAAAGACCACCCCATCTTTACCGTCAACTTCCAGACCAAGTCTACCCTGAATTCTCTGGCAAGCACTGCCTTCACCAGCCCGTCCCAGACTGACGTCGACGAGTTCGCTCAGGGGTCTGGCCTCCTCGCCCAGGCCGGTCAGCGTCTGAACTTCTGGACGAGCGTCGAGGGTTCTGACGGCCAGAAGCGCTACGTCCAGGGTACCGTCAACTCCCCTAAGAACGACACCATCAGAGTCAAGGTTTATCTCACTCACGGTCTGACATCCGTCGGTGCTCTGGGAATCTCCGCCGACGGTTCCACCAAGTTGACCACTGAGCCCTACCTCACCACCAAGGGCGACAAGGATGCCATCACGAGTTTCATGAACCAACTCATCAAGTACGCCTCCAAGTCCAACAGCACTCTGGCCCTGGCCGGCAACGCCACCGCCGAGAGCCTTATTTCGGAGTACGTCACGGGAAGCCACTTTGTCGGCAGTGCCATCATGGGAACCAAGAACGACGGTAAGAGCGTCGTCGATACCCAGACCAAGGTGTGGGGCACCGAAAACCTCTTCGTAGTCGATGCTTCCATTCACCCTGACTTGCCAACCGGCAACACTCAGGCCATCGTCATGGTTGCCGCCGAGCACGCCGCCGCCCAGATCCTTGGCGGAGCTGGAACCGGGAACAGCACTGGCGGCTCCGACTCCTGCAGCGGCAAGGCCGGCTACAAACGCGCAACAAGGCGTGCGCAGCTCCTCCGGCACTCTTACCGTGCCAGCCGTAACTTCTGAACGATGAGATGTCTTTCTGTGTATATACTACAAATTCTTCTGTGCAAAACTGTTATATCTGTAAATAAAACAACGGCCAAGACCTACTTTTCCAATTCCATTCTGTTTGAATCAATAACCGATAAGAAGTACCTAGCAATTATAAGAAAGTCTGACACGCGCACAGTTTCTGCTTGTGTAGGCAAAGATCAAAGCCCGTCCTGACAAGGCCAACCATGTTCCGTCTTCCCGCAACGTGTTTATCCTTATATGCAAAGACCAAAGCGCCAAGCATGACGCAACGAGCGTGGGTGCATGTAGTAAGCTTCATAGTGTTGCGTTGGAAGTCTGTATGCATGTACGGCCCTAGATATTCGGATCGTCAACCAAGAACCAGACATCGACAGCCAGGGTAAGATCCCTTTCGATAGCCTACAGCCCCATTTCGGACCCGTGACCCGTGGCCCGTGAGAAACATAAGGACTTGGACTAGGCCCTTGGAGTAGTCTGCCTCACTGCTGCATCTTTTTCCTACAGCTGATAACTTCGCGAAGTCGAGCCATTGAACCGAGACATTCCGCAAAAGCACGCCTGGCAACCTGATTGATCCCGGTAATCCGGATCTCATTGGGGCTCGCGCTAGGTTCATTCAAAGTCTAACCTACCTGCGCCGCCCGCGAAGTCTAGCTTGGTCACTTACGCTGCTGTGCGGAGTTTTACGAGTCATGGCGTTGTGAGCATGCTCAGAACCCAAACCCCGTGTAACCGGATTTCCCTTCTTCCCATTATTTTTTACTTTCCGCGGCCCCCCCCACGCACAAGTGTCACCCGCGTTCCTCGATACCAGGACCGCCCACGACCTTGGCGGGATGTGGGGAGAATGAGCCCAGTCAAGTTCCCACTCGCGCTGATCGCTTTGGCGGCGCTGCTGTTGGCAACGCACGCCGAGATCGACTTATCGGCACGAGACAGCAGGTTTCCGGAATGCGCTGTAAGCTGTGTTCGGTGTTCTTCCGGTGACAGTTTCGCGGCGCCCCAAGAACAACCGCTGATAGACGAGTGTGTACAATCAGGCTGCGTGCTGGCGAAGCGTTATCCCGTCCATCTGTGGCTCCTGGGAGAACGAGCGATGCGTTTGTCGCGATGCCAGCTTCGAGCTGGAGGTCACCCACTGCATGTACATGTCATGCCCCAGGCTGTCAACCTTTGGTACGTGTCAGGACACACAAGGCGGACATCGCAAAACCAACTGCTCACCATAAACAAGAATCGCTGAGAGAGTGGGATACCATGTGCGATAAGCCGCGTCGAAACAGAAAAGACGATCCATGGCGATGCCTGCCCATCCATATTCTTGCCGTGTGGTGTGTAGCGGTACGAATCTACTCCAAATTGTGCATCATACGCAGCTTCAGCCTGGACGACTGGATTATTACAATAACCTATGTTCTATACGTGGGGTGGTTTATTATTGGACATACTAGTAAGTCCTGTCCTTGGGGGGTTTCTGACAAGATGGCTCATTATGTGCCAGTTTTCCTCAAGGCGTTTGGAGTCGATATTTGGTGGAGCGATCCTGTAACCCTTACCTGGGCTTTGAAAGTAATGTCTAGACACTTTGCCACTGGTCACTGCCATCTTGCTTACGTGCGATTAGCTTTTCTACATCGATTCTTGTCTATACCTCCTTATTTTAGGACTCGCAAGGGCTTCGGTCCTGTGCTTCTACATACGACTCTTTCCTCATGAGCGCTTTTGTCGCCTATGCTACGCACTATTAACCATCATCGCCATAAGCACCATTTTGTTCACAGTTCTGTCCATGGTTCAGTGCGTGCCAATTTCGTACAACTGGGAGGGTTGGAAAGGAGACTTTGGGCTGGCGAAGTGCCTAAACCTCAACCTTCTATCTTGGAGCACGAGCGCCATCGGTATCGCGTTCGACACAACCATCTTGGTCATACCTTTGCCGTTGGTTGTCAAGATCAGGTCAACACCGCGGCGCAAGTTCTACATCATATCAATGTTCAGCCTGGGCATCATGAACATCATCTCGAGTTCCATACGTCTTCGTTACAATATTATGTACGGAGACTCGGTTAACATAACCTGGGACTACGTGGACCTCATAATCTGGACGGGCATCGAAGTGGCAACAAGCATCGCCGTGACAAGTCTTCCGTCGATTCGTCTGATGCTGCACAGAATCTCCCCCGGCGTGTTCGGAAAGTTTTTTGCGTTCGGCGGCCACGTGGAACAGGACCGCGAACAGTACTTGAGGACACGTGAGGTACAGAACCTCGACGTGGAGGAGTTGAAGGCCAAAGGCATCGTACGACGTGCAGGAAAATCCCGACTGGAAGATGACCTGCCACCAACCATTGGAGGCGGTGCGCCGAGGGATTGGAATCACAGACGGCGAACTCGGATCGCTCTAGACGAGAACATGAAGACGCCAACTATACCAGCTCGGACCGAAGCGAGTCGCATACTAGCCAGCATCATTAGTACCCGCACCAGGCATCCGAGTTCACCATCACAATCAACAAATGACAACACAATAACAGGCTCCACTAAGGTCTCAGATACCTCGAAGGAAAAAACACCAAGTGACGGGTTTGACTATAACGAAAGCGGAAGCCATGTATAATTAGCGGCAGTACTTCCTACTACAGGAAAGATGTTGAAAATGGAACATCATGGCAAGCCCGGATATGTATAAGGTCAACCATGCCGAAGATGTTGCTGGTATAGGCTATTGAATGCAAAAGCTGGGGGAGAGGGTGGCAAAAGCCTAAGGTAATGATACATATGAAAAAGCACATAAAATCTCCTTCAGAAGTATGGCTATCGCTGCGTGTTGAGATCATACTATTCCCAAATGAAGCCTCTGTCGCCGGCGTTATCTAGTGAACCCCCCTTGCTGTCTGACTTTCAGGAGAATGTCATACATCAAGTCACTCGGAAGGGTGCGCATGACTTTCTGCGTCTCAACCTTGTCCATCAACTCTCCGTGACGGCATATTATCCCAACAACAACGTCCTTGATATCGCGATCATCGTCGCCATCCGAGCAGGATGTGTATACCTTCTCAGCTGCGTGGAGGAACTCCTCCGTGTCCCACTGGTTGTCGGCTTCTGTCCTAAATTTGTCGAAAGCGAGCGATCGAAGGCCCGAGATACCATACTTTCTCGACAGCGCATACACATTTGCATGCAAAACGAGTGTGTCGTTAGTAGAGCCGGGATCAATGCCATTCGATGCTGGGTGAACAGGTGGTGGTGGTGGTGGTGGTGGCTTCGCAAGTAGAACGGCGCCTCCCCCTTCGCTGTGGTTTTCTTGGGCCTGGTTTAGCACAGACAGCTCTTGGGTGATTGACGACAAAGGCTCGCCGTTGGTATCAGGAGACGCAACAGCTCCAGAGTCTTGCTTGGCATTGGCCTTGGCACGCTTCTTCTGCTTCTTGCTGAGTCGCTGAGGCAGCGGTGGAAGAAAGTCATCAAGAGGCTCGATGTGCTCCCCAGACTTGATGTCTTTCTCAGCGACCTGGTCATCCGACTTGATAGATCCATTGAAGTCATCGTCAAAGCCATTGTTGTGGCCATTCGCCTGCGCATACCCATTAAGGACGAGGGCATTTTGCTGAGACGCAGATGGATAATCCAAGTGATAGAAATACCGAATGACCATGCCGACAGCCTGGGGATCATCGTCAGGCAGGCTGAGGGTACCCTCTGTGGCAGCCTTCAAGTCTGCAATCAGCCAGATGCGCAACTTCGGGAACCAAGAGTTTAAGACCAACTTTAGACGCCAACTCCCGACACTTTGAAGCAAAGTAATCGGACCTGGGGCACACAATGGATTTGTGAACTCGGTACTCAGAATGGCGACTGGCAATTGTAAGATCCGAGTATTCCGCATTTTCATACAGGCTATTTATGCTGTCAGCGTGATAACATAAGTTAACAGGGCACCAACATGGACGGCTGACCTTTTCAAAGACCCTCTGAGCTCCTCTACAGGGTCAGGGGAAGGAATCTGTGAATCTGTTTCTGTGCTTGACATTTCGAATGATTGTTGAATATCGGCTAGGGAATAGAAGATTGTGCCGTCTAGTTCAAGAAAACAGACAGGGCTGGCTGGAGTATTTGTACTTTAGCGTGATGCTTGTAGCCTCCGTGACTTGATTGCCATGACAGCTCGGCACAGCCTGATCGCGCACACCATCTTTCAACCAAGTCTTACTCATCCGACCATCGGCCAATCGTGGAAAAGTCAGGCGAAAGTGCGCCGCGGTGAAGGGGCCAGTGTCTTCTGCAACCAATGTGCTCACTGTAAGAAGCAGCTTGCAGGCTTGGAACGCGCCACTTCCTGCAGGGAGATGCAGCTGCAATATTCTGTAGCCTTGTTGTAAACGCGTATGTTCTCTTCCGCTGCGATGAGGCAACCATTATGTATGTGCCTTTGTGGCCCAAAGAATGGATTCGTAGGAGGAGTGCCCAAATCTCAAGATGTTGGGTTGCACTGCATGACCGGTGACAGCATTGCATCAATAGCTGGACGACAAGTGTCCAGTCAACATGTTATTAGCAGCGCCTCGCCATAGGCTTGCCTCCAGAAGCCAATCGAGAATAAAGAGTTATCACACCCACTTCCCTAAGAATGCGGGGAATTGCCGTCAACCCGCAACTTGGGCGCAATGCTGACCACCAGCTCGAAACTTGTGGTTGCATGGATCGATGGACAATCGTCCAGGTGGAAACCAAGGCTCGCCCCGGAGCCTCAATGTTACTTTGGGCAAATTGATGTAAAGCAAGGGGAGGTTCCAGTACCTTGAGGTGTTCGAGGGCGCAATTGAATTCGCTGTCCTAATCATTCATAGATATTATTGATAAGACCCGCCCGAAGAGCAGTAGTATGGTGGCCGTCCTTGCAGTAATCCAACCAGTCAGACACTCAATCGGTGGCATTGAAGGACCTTGATATCTCGTTGCTTCATCAGGAGAAAACCCATGTTATCCAGGTATCTCTAGTAACTAACGAGGCAGCACACCATTTACCCCCTATCCTCACGATATCGGAGCTTTTTCTTCTGCAGCTTGGACAACAATTACACTTCCCCAACCCCATGTGCGAATTCACACCCAAACGACATCTGGTCTCGTTCTGGAGGCTCGCTTCGGGGCTTATCGCCTGGTAAAAGTCGAGCTTCAGGCTGCTGCTAGAGATTTTGCTCCTCATAATTAGCTACCTATCACCTGAAGCAGTCCTGTCGCTTGCTCAACGTCTCATATTTTCCCGAGTCGCTGATTTTTCATGCCTGATCAAAGACGCACTTCTCACCCCTTTTGAAATGGATGTCCCGCACCTTACAGAGTGCCCCGAGTGTGCTATTCTTCCCCCAAGGTGGCTACTCAGAGGATATAGGCTTTTTTAGGCGTTCGATCTAGTCTTTGATATAGGCAAAGCAGACAAGGGGCCGGCTGTCATGGTTGGGTGTTGTCTATATCCTCCGAGTGATAGGTACCGGCGGATTTCCAAGATTAGCTAAAAAAAATCTTATCTGTTGTCCATAAGGCTCTAATCCCTCAATAAATCGGCTCCTCGAGCAGCCCCTTTCTCATGTACGACATCTCGAAGAATGACGCCGAGGCTGAGGCACACTCCGGCCACAGGGAGGAGGAACGGGAAGAGGTCAGACCTTGCAAGATGTCTCTCGGACGCTGCAATCCCTCTGTCACGGTGTATACAGACTGATGTACTCCACGGCTACGGGCTTGAAAAGCGTGTGATATGTCCTTTCTACCTAGGTAGGTACCACGCCGCCTCGTGGGGATATACTTCCCGAACGCGAAGAATTTGTCCGCAAAGCTGACCGTGCGATGCCAAATTTCTCCTGTGGTGAGAGGAGGTGTGGAAGTTATTAGTATCATCGTAATTAATCCATCATTATGTTGGTAGGTCTTCTAGGCTGGCTGGTCTCCTGGCTGTAACGGGCAGTGGAACTGGGCCTGGAGAAGGACGCTGTGATGGGCAGGCGAGCTCTCTTCAAGTGATGTCTTGTTGATCTTTGACAAAGCACTAATTAGTTGACAGCGGTAGAGTTATACCCGAAGCGGACGAGGGGCTGCCGCACGTCTTTATGTCTTTCTCTTATCAGTCGACACCGGGCATCGCTAGCTGTCGCTAAACCTCATCTTACCTCCAATACACCAGCGAGCAGTGGACAATATCTCATCCTTATGCAGCCTGAGAGGACTTCTTTTCTTGCTTCCGCATAATCAAGAATCCATTACGGTACCTTAACTATTCATTATTACCTCGACTTACGTCAATACCCCTGCCATTTTAATAATAATATTTCCACTTTTACCATCAATAGTAGAGAACCTATAGCCCTCTTGGCTTCTTCAGCGTCATTTTATTTATTATTCCGAGCTAATCCTGTCGCATTGATAGATCGCTGGGAAAGGCTTACGTAAATGTACCTAGGAGAGCCGTGGTTGCCTCGGACGCGGCTGGTCTAGACTGCTTACCCTTTGAATATCAACAACGAAGTAAGAGCGGCACACTACTTGACGGTCTCGTCCACAGAGCAAGTTCTGTCAACATTGTCTAACAGGGTCATCTCGCACAACTTGTGACAGAGCATTGGAGCAATATATTATAAGAGGGAGGCAACTTGTTAAACTTGTTCTTCTAATGAGTAGAGACAAGGAGTACTATTCGAATTGCTTTATCAGTTGGTGACAATCATGGAGGTGCATGAATACGAGGAACCACTCAGGGTTTATTGGCTTTTCGCATTAGCGGAAAACCTAAAACCCCCAAGGACGAGCCCAGCATCATCGAGCCAGTGTACAGGATCAGCGGCGCGAAGCGGCCCTGACCATAGCCGGCCTCAAAAGAGCCCCTCACCAGTGTTGTGGAGATTGGTCCAGACAATATGTTACCTACGCCCTTTCCAAATGCCATGAGGCTGTAAATATGTCCAGGGTCCCGTGAGAGAACGGACCCAAACCTGTTCCACAGGCACGGGAACCCGCCCGTCGCAAGTCCGAACAGCAGCGAGAACGCAAGAAGCGGCGCGAGAGACGTCGCAAATCCCCAAATGGCGAAGGTCGCAACTGAAGCGATAAATGAGGATACAAAGACAAGCATGAAGACGTTGTTCACTCGATCTGTTATGTAACCGAAAGCGAGTTGGCTAAAGATGGTAGCCAAGTTGTTAAGGGCGAGGACAAGTGCCCCCGCAGTTCCAGATAAGCCTAAGGCCGTTGCATATGTTGGTAGAAAGAGCGACGGGATATAATACCCCATTGCTTCGAGGAAGTTTGCCGCGGCGAAGCAGTAAAATAGTGGCTGTTTAAAAAAGTCGAAGTCCCCTTTCTGTAGGACGCCCCGTCCGGAGGCTGGTAGTCGCCCTTTGAGAAGAGGGATCATAGGCAGAAGGGTGATAAACTGCGCCACTGCCATAACTTGCAGCGTGATCCGGTATCCATGTTTGGACAGGAGTGACTCCAGGAGGAAGGGAAAAGCAACTCCGCTGCAACCTGCGCCGGTTGACATAATGCCATATGCCAACCCTCGTCGCACTACAAACCACTCGTTGAGCATCCGCAGAAGCGGGTAGTTGACAAACAGGAAGGAAGCACCGTAGAGAAACCCCTGGGTTGCAATAAGTCCGGGCACAGAAGTGGCGAAGGAGGCGATCACGAGCGACAGGGCGCAACCAATCCAGCCGATGATAATCATGTGTCGTTGCCAGGCTTGGTAACGTGCAACAATCGGTGTTGCCAGCGGCCCACCCAAATAGTAGACTCCGGTAGCGACAGTGCCAATGACGGCGATGTTGGAGTCATGCTTAAGGACAGGGTGGTTCGAGTAATAGTCTTGGAAGACACCATAAGATAGCGGGAACCCTGCATAGTCCGTCAATGTCTAATCAGTGGCTGGATCCGTCGTTATGCAACATACCCCAGAGGATAGCCTCAGCAACGAATGAGGCAAAGACAAATAGCCAAGGAGCTAAGCCTTTGTCCGTCGGGCGGAGAGATGTAGCCGACGAATCACCCGGTTCGCTGTGATGGCTGGACTCGAGGTTGATATTTTCTGTATGCGTAGTCATTATGTCGTGGCCAGGTTTAAAAAAGACAAGAAGAAATTCGATTAACAAGGGTTTGAAAAGATAGAATCAATTTTTTCTTCCATCGCGAGCTTCAGTTCTCCGAGCAAAGGTTCAGGCTTATAAATACAAGGTTGCTTAGCTGCTCAGCTGCTCAATATTAACAGCAATGTTTGCTACACCCCATAAGCGAACCACACCCTTCCAATGTTTGGTATCCAAGACGAGTGCGCTAAACACGGTTGGTCTAATGCACGACGAATCTACCTGCGTCAATTAAGCATGCCAAGATGGCCTAACGGTTGGTGTTCGATGCCATTTAGTATTGGAATTCCGAATTCAGACCAAATCATGCTCTGAAACGAAGCATTCGTATCCAGAAAGCCTTGGAAAGTTGAATGACGCCACTCTGTAGATAATGCGTGGCTTCTGCAGCCAAGACCCGTATAAGCATAACTAATGTAAAGGATACACCAGGTGCCGCTAGGCTACTTCGTTGGCCACCCTTCTAATGGGAGCGACCCTGTATATCTACGTGGTCTCGACTCTCGCCTTAGCTGGGATATTATTCAATCCAGAAAGCCACCTTTTCTTGTCTTAAGCTATCGTCAATATTGGCACTGACCTAGTCGCCATTGCTACTACCATCAAGTGCCGCATTATGAGGCATGATGGACATCAAAATGCAGATATCAATCTGTCAATGTATCATAATGCTTGTCCGTTCCAAGTATGGGGAGAACCACAAATTTCAGTGGCAGGGTTTTCTTCTATAAGCTTATACGCTATACCTTCTCGAAGTATCGTAGAGCCGCACGTATAAACCAGTGGTAGAAATCCATCTCCGGAACAGTTCCTTTACAGAAATAGATTACAAACACATTTGACCTTTTACTCCAACCTATTGCCGACTCAAAGTTCTCAATAGAGTCGTATCATTAGCTATAAACGCAAGAACTATCACCGGCTAGTCCGAGACAACGATCAAGAAGGAAGACTACATAATTTCAGATTCGTGGGTGTTCTGAAAGAAGTGCGGAGATACTGCCAGAAATAGATAGAGTGCGTCTCGCAAAAGTAAATCCGGCGTTATTATGCACATCTAGCTGACATTGAAAGCGCAAAGCAATAATCAACAAAAGGCGAGAACACTGGGACTGATCGAAGCGAAGTTGAATTGTCGGCGTAGGAGAAATGGGATACTTCTATATAGTTGGATCATTCGGGGCGTTCTTAGACAACGGATGCTGCCACTTGAACGTCCCTTCGAATGGTTCCGAGGTTGGTAGAAAGTCGATTACTCCGATCCTTTGGATCTTGGGTGAAAGAACGTATGTGATGAACATCCTTTGCATGAAGCTCCATGACATAACGTACCTTGCCATAATCCATGTCCATGTTGAGGACCAGGCATGCATCCTGGTCACAAGAGCAGAGTGGTCCAGATCCGACATCAGCGTCTCCCGTCTCTCGCTTTGGTACTCCTTCAGCCGGCTTTCCAACGTCGCAAAGTCCAACGGGCTTCTGCTGGGGGCTGAAACGAATCTGTGCAGCTTATTGGAAAGAGCGACAACGTCTTGAATGCCATTGTTGAATCCAAGGCCTGCGTTGGGTGTGAACTTGTGCGCGGCATCGCCAACAAGGACAACCCTACCGTTCCAGCTCCAATTACCGCAGACACCCTCCTCAAGGCCCGCACCGCCGGCACTATAGCGTTCCTCCCAGACGTCCTTGACCTTCAAATTCTCCGCGATCGGCCAGTCCATGAACTCTTTTGCAAAGTCGTCAACTTCATCGCTGCTCAGAGTAATCCGATCCGTAGTCGAGCTGGTCAGCTTTTTGTAGAGGAAAATCCAGCCACGCTCTTTGCCTGTGATGTACATTATGGACCTATCAGTGCTGTGTGTCTCGTGATTTAGACCCGGCTCGGATGGGCGAGGAAACGAGGCCCATGCGCAGACGTAATTCGTCTTGTACGGCTTAACCGAGTCCCACGTTGTCTCGTACGACGGATTGCTCTTAATTGCGAGGCGGCGCATTTCTTGTCGGACCATTGAGTGCACGCCGTCGGCGCCTATTACAATAGAGCCTGTGTAGGATGAGCCATCAACACAGGTCACTGTTACACCGGTTTCTGTGGATGTAATGCTGGCGAGCTTCTTCCCTGTGATGTAGCGTAGCTTTGCAGCCTCAGGAAGGTTGTCGTATAGTGCCTGGACAAGGTGTGCCCTGTGGAACGCCAATGGTTCTATGCCGTGGCTAGATGAAGCACGGCATTTGTCAGTATATGCGCAATGCCGTCAGAGTATAGATGTGAGGTAGGTCAACTCACTGGTCTTTCAGAAGTCCATACGCATCGGCATGCATAAAACGTTGACCGTCAACTGTAAAGGCCTTGTTTATTTTGATCTTGCCCCCGATTTCCAAGAGCTGGTCGAGGATACCGAATTGATGAAATACGCGCAAACTTGAGGGGCTTAGAACCAAGCTTGCTCCTTGATCTTCGGCCACTTCGTTTCTGCGCTCGAGAAGAACAAAGTCGATTCCGGCATGGTAGAGGGCGTACGCAGCTGTGATGCCGCTGGGGCCGCCTCCGATGATTATTACCCGGAAAGATTCGTTGGTCATTTTGACTGAATAACACTCGAAGTATGCGTAGACAGGACGGGATTTCTAGATGCAAGACAACAAAACTCGCGCGGGAAATACTGGGTAGGCAGTGGTTTATATCACCCATGCTAATATCCACTGTTACTTCCGAAGGGACCGATTCCCCCCCTTATCGTACGAGTAAATCCTATCCAGCTGGGGAATGTCGCTGGGGCACATGTTTCCAATATCATTGGGCAGTTATCCCTGTCATAAGATAATTAGATATCAACGCTGCCCTGCAAGCACCGGAATCTTCCCACTCATCGCTCCGGAATATTCCCACTCACTGATGGCCCCACCGAAAAGTAGCTGTATCGATAATAATGACAACTTACCTTCTTCTATGTGTAGAATCAACGATAGTACACTTGGTTCTTTTTAAGAGGTGCGATCTTCAATACCGACAGTTGCAGTATTATTTTCTTGGCTTCCTGGATGTGAGAAGCAATGTCCTCTTTATGGGCTTGAAACTTTATACTAGGAGCTCTAGCAAAAATCCATTTAATCTCGGACAATAGCATCAAAGCGGCGCGAAGATTCATTGAGCGATGATTCTGAACCGTAAAAAACTGCGAAAGTAATTTGTTCCAGTGGTAATACAAGTCACCTTAGTCAGGAGTATTGATTATAGCGCACTTTCTCAAGAATATACTCAGAACCTAATTGAGTACACCGCCCAGTGCCTTGGCCTAGGGCTGGGCTCCTGCGCTTCTACGCTTCTTAAATACCGATTTCACCTTGTCTAGAGCCAAATAGGGCTTGAGAAGCAAATGCTTTAGGAAGGATTCGAGAAGGCGTTGGTGATCTTGCATCTCGCTACTGTCGAGATAGATGTAGGTGTCGGCGATGGATTCCCGAGCGTATCATGAAGGTGCCCGATGATTGGAGACGACATAGCCGTGTGTTCAGCGCCGGGCATGCCAGGAAGCAACACATAACCTTTTCCATGCAAACCCAAGTATTGAATCTTGTATCTCTCTGAATCCTCTAGCATGTTCCTTCGTCCTTATTTCCAAGAACGGCCCTGTGCCTTTCGGATGGGTCAGCGGGTGATAACATCTATTAGATATCTTCCTTCACTCTAGGCTGCTTGTTATGAATCTTGACTACTATTCTACTACAAAACGATTGGCAAAGGATGACGAGACAAGCACATAACATGCCTTTCTTTCTTCTTCTTTTTATTTTTAGAAATAAGAAGTAAGACAATTGTGCAGAATGTATTACCTCCGATATTTCAACAAAACCATGAAGCATTTCGCACAATACTCGATAGTTGAGGTTATTAAGGCAGTTGTACTATGCAAATTATCATGCCTGACGTCTATAACAACCAGGGGAACGCCTTAAAGATATATAGATCCTCCTAGAACCGCCTAATATTAAAGGGAGTCAGCACTTCAAGATTTCACATAATGAGACCTAATGAGTAAGTACATAACACTCAAGAACTATTGTTTTGAACGGCTTCAAGCTCTTAATCCTTAGGAAGGTCTGATTAGACAAAACTGAAACTTATCTAACTCAAATAACCTACTGGCGAGACGCCCCCCCCACATCCGAGACACTATTATCATTACCACCAACACCACCACTATAATCACTTATTTCCTTAGGTCTGCCGCCCACCCATATGCAACTTTCGGCTTCCCTGGATGATTCGAATGCGCTGGATTCATCCAGACCATCTGTTTGGCCGTCATCCTGATTTTGCGTCCGCTGTATATCCTCCACAGTGGCGAAGGTGCTAGTAGTTGATAGGGGGACCTTTTTCCTCTTGCTTTGCCGCTGGTCCTCTGACTAACCCTCTAGGTGGTGGATCTGTTGCTCTAGAAGTGCTGCTCTAGATGCCTGATGTTGATGATAAGGAAGATGTGGGATTTTCGGATGTGTCGGATGTGGGGGTGTCTCGTAAGTGGGGTATTTGAGTTATTGAGTTCCATACGGATAGAGGCACACAACATCGAATTGGAAACATCCATGAGTAATCATCCCAGTAAACTCTTGACAACTTCATCAAGAGGGCTGGGTTAGTCTTTCTTTATTGGCAGTATGTACTGCGTGACCTCTTGCGACTAGTCATATTTGCCGGTTTGTTAAGCAACTACGAGTCGAAGCTGAGCAGCATATTTACATTTACTCTTAGGCCGATAGCAGTTGCAATATGCTAAAGGAATTTACTAGGCACTTCTTTGATGATAAACTGTCAAAGCTTACTCCCAAACCCTAGGCCCTAAGTAGGTAGTAAGTTCCAAACCATTTGTAGAAGAGATGATAGATGCAAAACTATGTAGGCCTGTCTCTCTCTGTTTCTCACTTTTTAGGTGAAAAAGAACGAGTGTTAGCATTAAAAGAGTAGTTCAAGTGTCTAAGAGAAATTACAGCAGGGAAAGATATAAATACTCACAAGGCGCCCTGGATAGCAGCGTTAATGTCGTAATCCCCCATCGTCCCCTGCGTCTGGAGTACACGCCGGTAGCACTCCACGATCCTGGCCTCGTCACGTGCGAACTGCCACATAGGCACGTACATCTTGATTTGAGGAACTGCCTGGCCTGGCACCACTGAGAAAGCAAATCCAACCCCTTGGTGATGACTATCGGGATTGTTGAGCGGCTTTTCCAGGTCTTCCATCTCAGCCTGTGGAATGTCTTCCATATCCAAGAGCTGGGGCCAAACTTGTGACAGAAAGTCGGCTGAGGAACTGGGAAGAAGGCCACCCAGGGTGAAGGCTTCACGGACCGCGGCAAGCGACTTGAAGCGTGTGGAGACGTATACCTTGAAGCGAGGCTCCTTGCAGGGTGCCAGGCAGTCGATTGCGAGGAAATCTAAGTTGATCTTTTCCCCGCCGTCAGTGATAAGAAACGTTTTAACCAGTTCCCAGGCAGCCAGCATATCCTTGTCCCCCCCAGCAAGCCGCTTCACGATTGAATCTGTCGTATTCACTGTCTTCTGGCCTGTTGCGATGGCCTTGAGTTGCGGGAACAGATACGTCTTCATGACGGTGACCGCTTTCTCGTTCTCGTCCATATCGGCCTCGAGATCGAATGCGACAAAACCGTTCTGCCGCAGCGGCCCACCAGCAGCACCAGCATCTCCATTGGCGGCGTCCATCCCCCTCTTGCCAACCAAGGTTAGCTCCTCTTCGGCAGTGAGGAAGACGGAATCAAGAAAGGCATCCAGCCACGCGCGGTCCGCACCACATGCAGACGCCATGCCCTCTAGTGTGTTGCGCAATGCCTTCTGGCCCAAAAGATCACCACCCTGTGCAGGGCTGGGATCTACTAGCGGCTGCACCGTGAAACGCACCCTGGCTGGTTTGTGAGTCGCAAAGGCGAGGCTTGCTTCGTAGATGCCATGGCTGTGCGTCCCGATGTAGTACAGCCTGTCGGCCGCGGCAGGCGGTTTGAGGCGGGGGACCACGACGTCACGCACGAAAGCGAGGTGGGACTCCTGTACCTCGGCCGGGTAAGTCCCCGTCCAGCGTAGGAGAGAGGTGAGGCTATTGTGGATAAGGGGCAGCCATGAGGAGAAGAGAGGACTGCCTTTGGAAGAAGGGGAAGAGGCGACTGCGTCTTTGTAGATGCTCTTTTCAGTGATGCTACCATTGGCATCATTTACAACGGTTAGGCGGTAGATTTCCATCCTTGGGGTTGTCGATGTGTGCTGTGGTATTCCTGCGTGTCTGGCTGAGTACTTGTCCTCGCAGTGTTTCTGTTGTTTGCTCTAAGAATTACTTGTTTTTCTAAGGGGGGGGAGAGAGGTCGGATATGATATGACGCGAGGTTTTCTCTTGTGAGCTTTTTTATGCTACTGCGTTAGGTATGTACAAGGTACCAAACTTTGCATCAAGTTGCCTGTTTTGAAGGTCTCTCTACGGCGTCGTCACAGGTGAAAATTTATCCCTTGGCCTTAATAGAAGATGAGCGGATCTCTTGATAACTCTAAATCTGTGGGAGCACAAGAGCAACGAAGTGAGGCAACTAGTGTTATTGCCGATCTGTAGTGGTGTGTGGTGAGGAGGAAAATCCTCCTCTCAAGGCTATGGGCAGAGGCTAGCAAAGAGGTGAGGGGCCTGGGAGGTCACGTGACCTCCTAGCACACAGGCCCCCTTATAACACTCCCCCTTAGGCTCTACTAACTTAATGAATATTATATATAGGGGTAAAATAATAGCCTAATCTAAAAGCCTCTAAATCTAAGGAGTTTTTAAAGTATATAATAACTTTAGCTATATGCTAGTAATTATCCTATTAGTCTAGTAATAATTAATCTATATACTAAAGTCTATATAATACTAATTTACTAATATATATCCTCTATAATATATATCTTTTATAATAGCCTATATAGCTCTTTAATTTAACCTATTTACTATACTTAGTAACTATATAAAGTCTTTATATTTAGTTAGTACTAGTAGCTTAGTAAGACTATTAGTAGCTATCTTAGTGCCCTTAATAAGTTAGAGGGTAATATTCTTTTAGGTGTAGACCTCTTGTATTATCTATTTATATTAGACGTTAATACTTTAGGTATATACCTTATTAAGGGGATTTATAACGTTAACTATTATATTAGTACTATTAGTAAAAAGGATAGTTAGTGTATTTATTAGTTAGCTAAGGAGCTACTTAGTATAGTAGTAAATCTACTTTATAGTAATAGCAGTAGGTATAAGGTTAATAAACTCTACCTCTATAAAGCTTAAAGTAATAAAGGTCTGCTTTTTTAACTTCTAAGTAATTAGTAATCCTATAAAGTAGATAACGTATTTACCTATAGAAACCTATAATAGGTAATTATTAGTAAAAAAAGTATCTATTGGCCGCACGCGATGCAGCGTATTCCCGTCACATTAATTTCCTTTTTCGCGTGGGGCTCCAACTGACCCCTCCTTCCCGGGACAAGAAGATCCCCCGTCTTTCTGCTGTCACTGTTTTACGCTAGGTGTGCTATATGCCCCCCTTAGCAGCGGAAAGAATCCTCCGCATTTCGCACTTTCTACGCTTTTGTTAATATCCCCCAACACCTGACGCGGACTTCTTTAGGCTTAAATTTAGCGTGGAAAGATTTCGCAGGTCTGAAAGACGGGTTCCCTCGCCCCATGCCGAAGCCTGAGTGGACCCAGGTCTACGTCTAAAGTGGACTCTGCAGATTAAGTTAATGGCTGACTGATTCA